CTAATTAATATTACTTAAAATAGCATATAATTTCTTATTGGTTTTTCTTCTTTTACTAATTTGACTTTGTACACTATCACAAGTCTTTTTTGGGATGTGTAACTAAATTGTTATATTAAGCCATACTTGCCACACTAGTCACACCTTGTATTATATAGGTTACACAAAATTGTTCTCAGAATTACACAAAGCTGCAGCAGCTGCAGTAGCCACAGTATTATATTATACTCCTGTCAAATCAGTCCTTGCTATTATAAATTTTATATATTAAAAGCTTTAACAATTAATAACAAAAAATTTACTAAGTAATATTAACTTTCATCATTAAGTATACCTGTAGTATTTTTCTTCTCTATCAAACAGAATGCCTACTTTGATCACTTAAGGGCCAGATTATTTTGATCTTGACTATTTCCATAACAAGTACAATGATTGTTATGATACAATGATCCGAGAAGTACAACCTACACAACTTAAAGTTATATTATTTGCATTTAATCCATCTGAATGCAACATTACTAAATCTCTTCACTACTTTAAAACTTCTACTCAACCTATCATTGTCCACTATTATTGCCAAAAATTTCATATTCTCTTTACTTCTAGTAATCTTAACATTTCACCTAGACAAGCAACTCCCCTTCTTCTTCTCAAAAATCTACATATATGGATACTGATATTATACCTAAACAAGTTAGACAACTCAAAGAAACTATCCCTCAATCACCAATTACAAAAACAACTACTGTTCCTCCATTACTATTCTCTTTGAATTATTTTACAACTTAAAAAGGAACTTCATTTAATCTGACACAAATTCCTCAAATCCAAGCATATTTCCATTATGCACATACTTGTATTATTTGTCAAAATAAAAATATCTTATGTGCTTTTCTAGAAAATAATACACACACACTTCTTAACAAATTTATTCTTATTATTAAAGGATTTCCAATGCACCTTAAATGTATTCATAAACTCAAACTCAAACTTATTACTCAAACTAAAGCACTCACTTCTATACAAATCCAAACTGCTCTTGTAATCAAACTTACTACACTATCTAAAGAAGAGAAATTTTTAATTTTCAAAAAATTCTTAGAATTATTAAAACAAAACAAAAACAATAAAATTAATTAAAAACAACAAAACCTATATCAAAAACAATCTATTATCAAAAATCTTCTTATTTCCAAACTTACACCTCTTATTCCTATTGCAGATGAAACAAGTAACAATAAACAACAACAATCCTACAGTCAAGCAGCAAGA